AATCTAGATGCAGTGCTAGCCACAACGTTCCTTCTCGCTTAAAGCCGCACAATGCGCATCCAACGCTAATTTACTCTACTACTAGACTAGAAATACTGGGGCGTGTCAGGCATAATCACACTACCCTTATGACAAAAATAAACTCTAGTGCTGCTATTTCACTGCAGCGTTTGCTTAAAACCACAGAAAGAAGGCGTGAGGAACTGGCGCAAACGACCGACTGTTTCAAACAGAAATAAGAATTCGAAGTGGTGACGTTGACGTCACAGTGATTTTTATCTTTGCTGGCCGCGTTAGCGCTGCTACCGCCAGCACCGCTGCACGGTGCTACGGGGACTTGTGGAAACTGTCAAACACATACGGAGATTTTCCCACAAGCATTGAAGGTATTTGGTTCAAAATACTTTTATAGACGAACGCGCAGTGAAATGCGGAGGAACTAGAGTTTATTTTGCCATAAGGTAGTTATGATTATGCATGCACGAAGTATTTGCTAGTCTAGTACTGGGAGAAATATAGCGTTTCGGATGAGCATTGTGAGGCCTTCTAACACTCGTGTTGGTGCTGTAACAGTCTGGAGAGCCTGGTCGGTTTAGTTGCAGTGTGGACTTGTTGCGTTTGGACGAAAATGGCAACGTGACGTCAGAGTGTAGAAGAAAATTAGGGGGCAAAAAAAGTGCGAAGTGCAATCGTGAGAAAGACGGACACACGTCACACACATGCGCTCACGCACACACGCGCTCACGCACCCACGTCGCACACACGCGCTCACGCCACACGCTCGTCGCCACACGCGCTCACGCACACGCGCTCAAAAATCGTGAGCCCTTTTAGGTCTTTGCCCCCCCCCAATCCAAAACTGCTTCCCGGCGCGCCTGACATCCACATAATAGCTCACACACACAACACACACACACACACACACACCACACACACACACCACACACACACACACGTACACACAGCACACACACACGCGCACACACACACACACACACACACACACACACACACACACACACACACACACACACGTACACACACACACACACACACACACACACACACACACACACACACACACACACACACACACACACGCGCGCGCGTACACACACCACACACACCACGCACACACACACACACACACACACACACACACACACACCACACACACCACGCACAGACACACACACACACGTGCCACACACACACACACACACACACACACACACACACACACACACCACACACACACACACACACACAACAACAGAGGAGATAATTGTGTCTTGTCACTGTGTTGATGTATATGTTTATTCGTTTGTTGTGCCAACATGACTTGCATACGATAACACGATTTTATTGGTGGAATTTTGGGTAGATTTCGGTGTGTGTGTGTGTGTGTGTGTGTGAGAGAGAGAGAGAGCTAGAGTGTGTGTGTGAGAGAGAGAGGGAGAGAGAGGGAGAGAGAAGGGAGGGAGGGAGAGAGGAGAGAGAGAGAGAGAGAGGAGAGAGAGAGAGAGAGAGAGAGAGAGGAGAGAGAAGAGAGAGATTGTCCCGTTGCGCAATCATGCGTGTACGCGAGTCGCGAGATCACTGCGTGAGTGGATGTCCGCGGATGCGTAACCTGGAGGCTAGGCGACCGGTTCCGGACGCGTAGCCACTGCGTTAAAAATAACTACAGTAATGATATATGTGATTTGTGTGACGAAAGGAAAAAATAAAATTTGAACATTTATACTCATGTAAGGTATATAGAGGGTATAATAAGGGGAACGAGTAGAAGATTGGAAAAGTGATGACCCGAAATACTAAAACCGAGCACTAGAATATGTTAGAAAAGCATGATCAATTAGAGAAAGTAAAATAATTAATGCTAACTTGTAGACAGAATTTCCTTATCTACAGGATTTCCCCGCACATTCCAAGAGAATCAGTGCCCTTGTGAAATACAAGAGAGGAACCCCAAGAAACAAGATACAAGATACAATCTCATAGCAATTAATGGTCTCAGCCATCAGTCTTCAAATGAAAGGGACTACTGTATATCGAAGTCGTATATTGGAAATCGAAAATTCTAGGTAGCAGACTGTTATTTTGGGCGAAACAGATGATAAATATGTTTACTATGTATTTCAATGACAATCGATCCCGAATTTTATCACGGACGGGTCTAGAAACTCCAGTCTAAAATGAATACCCGCGAATAAGTGAGAAGACGTAAGCATGAGCGTAGCCAGACCCGTCGGAGCCGCTACGGTTTGCGGCGGCATCTTGACGCCGTACCAATTTTCAGCCCTAAAGAAAAGAAAAAACATGTAAAAAAAAAGCCAAGAGAGATGGGAGCGGAGAAGAAAGAGACGAGAAAAGGAGGAGGAGACGAGACGGAGAGAGATAGACGGAGCAGAGAGAAGGAGAGAGAGACGACGAGAGAGTGGAGAGAGAGAGAGAGAGAAGAAAATAGGGGTACGAAACGTACGCAAAACTTCAGCAGCTGCTACTCAAAACCTGCAACAATCAGGAAGTGGACGAAGAGCTAGTTGATCGCGTTTGTGTGTGACTTTTACGGGGATGATCTCAAAAAGTGTGATCTAAAAAAATAAACCAACTAGAGACCATGAAAGCCACTTTCAATTCTAATGCCCAACATACAGAGTGGACATTGCCAAAGGTTGTTAGTTACATGCGAGGACTGGGACCCGGTCGTCGTGATCACCTCTCGCAAGTATGCACTCTTCTAAAGCTAATTTTAGTCATGCCAGCGACGAACGCAGCTAGTGAGCGCTCATTCAGTGCTATGAAGCGCATAAAGAGCTACTTGAGATCTACCATGACTCAGCAGCGCCTCAACCATCTTATGCTGTTACACGTCCACAAAGATCATACGGATCGATTGAACCTGATTGAAGCTGCAAATGATTTTGTCAATGCCAATCACCATCGGCGTTCAGTTTTTGGCATTTTCACAGCATGTGATTTGAGTTTTTCATAGAACCATCTGATCAGTTACCTACCTGTCAGTATTGTTAATAAAATAATCTGTAAATGTATGCTTAAACATTATGTAACATTTTCGACATAAAATTGATGAACTTTTTTGACATCTTACTAATGGATTTACCGATTTAGGATCGCAGACCGCAGTATCGTATATCGATCTCTTTCTGTGCGTGTGTGTGTGTGCGCGCGCGCGTGTGTGTGTGTGTTAAGTTGATGCACTGTATGAAGAGTTCCGCAGCTTGACTTCAATTTCTATTTAATGAAGAGTAATTTGTCCTTTTCTGCAATATAATAAAAGAATAAAAAAAATTATTTTAAAGTATGCTAAATTGCATGATTTGCACCCCCAATTCAAAAAAAGTTCTTACCGTAGGAGGGGGATACCCCCTGCCACACCCTCCTCGACTCCCTCGCATCGTTTCCTGTCCCGTATTCAAATTTCTAAAATCTGGTCACCCTGTCTGCCCCTTCGAACCTCGCAGGGGGTTTCACCCCCAGACCCCCACTGAAACCGTACCACTTTAAAATTCCTTCCGACGGGCCTGGGCGTAGCTACCATAACGCAGATACCCAGTTGCGTATACACATCATTTCAACAAGCATTTTTTTATTGGAGAAAGAGAGAGAAAGAAATTGAGAGAGATGTGTTGTGTGATGTGTGTGTGTGTGTGTGTGTGTGTGTGTGTGTGTGTGTGTGTGTGTGTGTGTGTGTGTGTGTGTGTGTGTTTGTGTGTGTATGTGTCCGTATATTCTTCGGCCGTTCTTATACGTTCAAAGTGGAGCCGGACAGGCTGACAGCACGTGTGCATGGTACAATCTTATCTACATGCTTCACTTCGCTAGCAGCATCCCGCCACGATTCTGTGTATGTGGGTGTGTATATGTGTATGTGTGTGTGTGTGTGTGTGTGTGTGTGTGTGTGTGTGTGTGTGTGTGTGTGTGTGTGTGTGTGTGTGTGTGTGTGTGTGTGTGTGTGTGTGTATGTGTGAGAATGTATGTATGTGTGTGTGTGTGTGTGTGTGTGTGTGTGTATGTGTCCGTGTGTGTGTGTGTGTGTGTGTGTGTGTGTGTGTGTGTGTGTGTGTGTGTGTGTGTGTGTGTGTGTGTGTGTGTGTGTGTGTGTGT